GACAAATGGGTCAAGCCACTCGCAAGCTCGTCCCATGCGTGGCTTGGACCGGTCTCGAGACTAGCATGGGTCGAACCGGACAATTTTTTTCATGAGACAACTTGTAATGGACTCTTGGGCAACTCATTTTTTGAGTTGGTTTATTAATTTCTTTATCAAATAAAATACAGGCAAGATCATGGGCTCGCGGACAGATTGACTTTTCCCATGAGCCAAAGGATCGAACAAGACCTTGTTTGTGAACACAAGTCGAGCATGTTTGTCTAAGAACTGAGCCGTCTCAGGTCGGCACATGTCACCCTTACTGTGCACCAAGGATTGGACGAAGGAGCCAACAGGGAAAACTAAAAATTCCATATTTCCTCGTAAAACTCTACCGATATCCTGCCTTAGTTCGGATAAAAAAATCATCCTTTTTCACCTTGTTTTGTGCAAGGAAATATAGTTCCTCAGTCTAATGCTCGTGACTTATGAGTCATGTCTAAAGTAAAAGAAAGAATGTTTGAATCAGTAAAGCTGAAAAAAGGCAAAAGGCAAAAGCCACATACTTCTCAACTCATTATACAAGCATTCACTAAAAGCACATTTATGTACCAAAATAAAAGAAAAAGAGACTGTGCAACCAGAAGAATAAAGCATCTTTAGAAACATTCAGGTAAACAGAATCCCAAAGATTAAAGCACACCAAAAAGCTATAAATTTGTATCTGGCATTGACACTTGTTCAATTCTACAGTCAAACTGTTTGATGATTTGTCTTCAGCAAATTGTTCTTTGGAATCTACAGATAAAGCAACAAAGGATATTAGTCAGGAATCTCGACAAACAGTGAATCCATCAACGCGGTTTTTACACCAAAGGCAGAGAACTTTTTTCTTTAAGGTAATGTTGGCAATGGATGCTACAAAACCATGCATTTCTTTAATATTTATCAAAAGGGGAGACCTTGTATTGTGAAAAGATTTTATTGATCATAAATATAATGCCCAACTTAAGAACAAACAATTACAGGTCAAAAATGGCTAGAAAAATTCAAAATCTAAAAAGGGACCAGATAAACTGTCTGAATCAGAAGCAGCCTTGTCACTTTTAGGCAAAGATGACTTGAGTGCTTGATTACATGATGCAAGATCAACAGGTTTAGGAACCTGTGGCGGATGAGTACTACGAATAAGAGCCCAGTTAACGCTTTCAAAGAACGGATGTTGTTTTATCTCTGTGGCACCTCTTTTAAATCCTAATCTTTTTTTAGGGTCCTTTGTGAGCAAACCTCGAATTAAATCCTTTGCAGCAAAACTTAACATGGATCCCTCAGGAAATTTCAAGGGTTGTCCGACAACGTTAAATAAAGTCTCTCGGTTACCATTGCCTTTAAAGGGTGTCCTCCCATGAAGCAATTCGTATAAGAAAATACCAAATGTCCACCAGTCGACAGCACTGCCATGACCATCTCCTCTAATAATTTCGGGGGCTAAATACTCATGTGTGCCTACAAAAGACATTGATCGGGCTGAAGTTGGCTCCGCAACGAGCATGGGAAGAGAATCTGAAGTGATCACAGCCATGCGTTCACCCCTTACTTTTGCTGTTTTTGAGTTAAAAAGTCGAGGCTTAAAGCAAGAGGGTTGGAAACACGAAGGCTCTACACAAACAGTTAATTTGCAGGCTGGATCTATGCATGATGGCTTAATGCAATATGAAGAGATTGCACAAGACGGGTCGATGCTGGATGTAACAAGTGTTGGATTCACATAGCATCTTAGCGATAAGTCAAAATCTGATA